TTCTTTTTTGAGACAGGGTCTTACTGTGTAGTGCTGGCTGTCCTGGAACTTGCTATGTAGACCTGATTGGCCTCGAACTCACAGAGATCCACCTGCCTCTGCCTCCTGAGTCCTAGGATTACACCACCACACAGCCGAGCTTGACTTTCCTCTTTCTGTTGCTGCCCCGGATGCTCCTGATGCGGAAGCCCACACCAGGTTCCCTCCACCAGCAATGAGCCCCGTTAACCTGGAACCCATGGTCCCCCTCTCGCTCCCTGTGGCTTTGCTTGTGTTCTCACTCCAGCCTCCCCAGGGGACAGAGATTGTCCTGTCTGCCACTGGGCAGGTCATGAACACTTAGTAGCCAAGCCATTGTCAACGGGGGAAACAGAGGCCAGAGCAAAGTGGGGAGGAAACAAGGCCTGGGAGGAGCAGGGCTACCCGCCCCACCAGGGCACTACTGACTGCATGTCTCACTGTCACCCTGGGCTGCTCCTCTCAGGCTCCAGCAGATGCGGTGGCCATGGTGAAAGGATGCCTCAGGGTCAGCTCAAACAGCTCTCTTTAATCTGTGATGCTCACTCCAGGGCATCCCTTGGCATAGTCTCTTGCCAGATAAACACAAAACCGTGGGACACCAGGATTCCAAGGAAACCATTCCAGAATAAGGTCTTGACATCAGAGTCAGCAAGTACAAACGCCTGTCAATACAGGCTGCGGTGTAGTCCTGCTAGAACGTGCTCCCACCGCTGAGGATGGCCCAGAATCTAAGGCTACCAGTGCCACCCGCTGGAGGAAGAGTCAGGAAAGAAATGGGGTCAACAACCAGCGGGCAGGGGCAGGGCTCTGGACAGATCTCAGTTGGCTGTGTGCCTGTTTAGCATGCAGGAAGCCGTGGGTTTGACCCTCATCATATAAACTAGGCATAACACCACACATATATAATCCCGGCACCCGGGACTGGAGGCAGGGGCAGCAGAAGTTCAAAGTCATCCTTGGTTACATACTGAGCCTGACTCCAGCCTGGATATATGAGGGAAAGGCATCAGGAACGAGCCAAGGCCCAGAAGAGCAGAGAGCCCAAGGGGAGATCCACAGGCGAGGCAGGATGGATGAGCACACCAGAGAGGGTACACCACCCTGTCCACTGGGGACCTGTGCACTGAGGTCACGCAGGTGCCATGGGTGCCCATCTGTTGTATGTGTGCCCAGTGTAGTGGTATTTGCTCCGCCCATGACCTTGGGCTATCTGGCCTGAAGAGGTGTGCTTCTTGCCTTTGTATGTGACCTCTTAAAAGAAAAGGGAGAGGGGGTCACAAGGGCCCATCTCCCTGCTTCCTGCTTCCTGGTGTGATGGAACGGCTGGGTAGATTCACTCCTGGTCAGATCAGAGGATGACTTCAGCTGTCTACTCGGTTCTGTATTCGTGAGTGTATTTCCTCAATTTATATCCTAATAAATTCCCTAATACTCCTTAAGCAGACTCCTGTGGATTTCTTGCTTTACCCCAGCGTGACCACAGGGGCTGTGGTAGGTCAATGTGGGCCCCACACAGGTTCACAGGCTCCCACTTGGGCATGTGCAGTGCATGTATGCTCAAGTGTCTGCGCACAGATGCTCATGGGAGCATCAACTCTTACTGAGGTTCCAGAATCAAACTCTGCAGCTGAGTCTGCAGAAAGTCCCTCTTTGCTGCCATTCTTACAACCACCTGCCCTGGCCCACCCTGCCCCTGCCCCCCTATGTCCCAGCTGGCCACTGTGGTACTCACCAAGGACTGTAAGATGGCATGGTTGGTGGCATTCATACACGAGTCCAGTGGGAAGGCACACTCCCCCTCACAGTAATAGGCTGAGTAGCCCTGGGGGGCAATGACCCAGTCCTGTGGGTGGGAAAGGTGAGTCACATCAGTGTCCTTCCATTGACCATCATCATAGCACCTGTCACAGGATGACCTGAGCCTGTGAATCCTCATCCCCCTCAGTGACCCTCAGCAGGCAGGGCTGGACCCCAGCTCTGTCCTCCACACCTCACCCTCCTCTGCTGTCTCCTCCACAGCTGCCCCCATGCCTCCTGCAGCAGCTGTGGCAGGAAGAGCCCAAAGGCCCTGCCTCAGTTTCCCTGTTGTGCTGACAGTTTACTGGGCAGAGGGCTCAGGTTGCCTCCGTTTTCACGGCTTTTATGCACAACTAAAGGCACAGTAGTAGTTCCACCTCCACCCTGGAGACCCCAGGCTCTGCAGGTGGCATTCAGAGAGGAGAGGCAGAAATTACCAGCCAGCCGAGGTCCCGGAAGCTGACGTAGAGCTCGTGCCTGCGGCAAACATCTCTGCCTCGGGCGCCATGACCATCTGCAGGACAGAAAGGTGCAAGGTCTACTCAGGGATCCTGCTCTACAGAGTTGCCATGGTACTCCCGTAGGGGGGCATGGCAGACACATTTACAAATGAAGGACAACAGGAAACTGAACCATTGGGATCACAAGTTCCACTTCTGGATCCCTGCTCATGCCATGACCCAACTCCACAGTCCCCCGTGGCTCCCCGTCACCACAGGGTGTGGCTGTGCTCTGGGCACACTCGGCTTCTGCTTTCCTCTGCAGACTCTTGATTGCAGCCCACCCTCCCTCCCTGACAGGCACAGCCC